TTTTTATTTTAACTATTCTTCCTATTGTTATTAAATTTCATTAAAGAAATTTAAAGTAATAGATAACAAGTAATAGGAAGAATTGTTAAAATAAAAGGGAAGGTTTTAATCCAGAAGTCAAAAAATAAAGCAACAAAAAGCAGAAGAAAAAAAATCAATCCATTCACTTTAAGAGGAGAAACAAGAAACGTTGCAAGCACTTCAATCCACAAAGTATAGTTACAAAGAAAAAAAAGCTTTCCCAAGCAATCCAATATGTTAATTTTGCCGCTTAATTATTTTGCTTAAGGATCTAATTTGGCTTTAAAAGAAAAAATTCTTTGGGCAGTCTTTCCCAAAATAGAAAAAATGCCTCAACAGATGGACTCACTTTCTCTTTTCACTTCCTTCTTTCCAGAGCCATCCGGACTTAATCAGCCTGGGGCTGCCTGTTTACTGCCGGCTTGAAGCGCTTCCCTTTTTCAATCAGAGACTTTGCAATGTCCCTGAGACTAGCAAGGCTTCATCTTCCTGATCACCATCTCTGCGGGATGGTTTAGGTCGCAATGGACCGTCCAGTGGCAAAAGTATCAATGGCGGTCTCAGAGTGTCGAGACCGCACGTTGTAACATCGCTACGCTGGCTCCTCCTTCAGTAATTTCTAAAATGAGAAATCCAGGTGGCTGAAAACTCCTGGAGAGAGGATTGTACAATGAAAGACAGAATATTTAAATATCCCCATGGTCACCTCATTACTATATACAGCCGGGGGGGGGGAATTCAGCCAGTTTAAACTGGTTTGGGCAAACCGGTAATTCCGGTGAGCAGTTGGCCCCGCTCACCCACCCCTGCCCTTTCCTGTGCTATATTTCCCTGGTTTTTTTTAGCTCACCTGATTTGTGCGGCATAGCGGATTTCCGTGTGTCAGCTGTTTTACTCACCAGCGCTGACATAGAAGGTAAGTTTTAAAGCTTAAAATAGGTGGTTTTTGAACACTATGCGCAGATGTAAAGCACATGTTAGGTGCATGTGCAAAGCGCACATTAGGCGAGCATATGTGCAAAGCATGCATGTGTGCGCTCACCGAACCGGTTGTTAAACCTCTTGCATCCTACCACTGTATAAGAACAAGGGTGTTCTCCAGTTTTAAAAATAATATGGAAGAAGCTCTCCACTGTGAGGATTTCTCCAAAATTCTCTTTTCCTTTGAAAGAACATTGGAAGCAAATTCTCTTTCACGAAATGAAAGAACCGATATATTTTCTCTGGCTGGTACTAATATGGAGGATGGATGACTTTGAAGCCACCTTATGGGACAAGAGAAATGTGTTTGGCTTCGTGAATCCTCCCAGGAAAGGAAGGAGCAAAGCTGACTCCAAGACAGTGTTTAGGTGATCTCACTAAGATCTTTGAGTAGATGTTCCCAACTGTCCTTTAAAACTGGAAGGGGCTGAAGGTCATTTCAGGAAGACATTCATTCTCCAAAGGATGGGAATGTTGTACCCCCTCCCCGCCGCTGGCAGCAGAGTTGGAGGGTGAGGAGGTTGGGGAGGAACATTGGCCGGTCCTGGGGTTTGAGGAAAGCTCAGACGAGGGCTCCGCATCGGAGGCAGAGAGGGAGCTAGATAGCAATGAGGCAGAGGAACAGCTGGAGCCTGTTCCTAGTGTGTGCATGCGCAGAGCTGCCAGAAGACAAGAACAACTAAGAAAGCAGGGTTGACTTAGGAGTAAAGCTACACCTTGGAGGTGATTGGCCCCTCCCATAGGCAACAAAAGAGGAGTGAATGGGGAGTGGGCTTTTGCAGGAAACAATTCGTTCCTTTGGTAGGTTCAAGATTGGCAAGTTCTGTATGTGACTTTAAGGGACTCTGTGGCAAGTTTGCCTTGCCCTGCGTTTGGAAACTAGTTATCTGGCAGCACTCCAAACGAGATAAGGTGCGTGTGGATAAACATTCCTCTGAAAGACTGTTTACTAAGCTGACTGTGAATGAAAGGAATTCACAGACGTGTAAATAAAAGAGGTTTTGCAGCGACCAAGACTTTGCTTCTTGTTTTCTAAGGAAGCCTGGGTCAGAACAGGGGAAGTTCTCTTTGACCCAAACTCTCCATAGGTCCTCTCCTCTTGGGTTGCTATCATGTGGGATACAAATGGGGAACTGCCCAAAAACGCACATATAAGGCAAAGAGTTTTACATTCTTCTATTTACGAGTATATAAAACTGTGTTTATTCAGTGGGAACTGCTCAAGCAATCCTTAAATCAATTCCACCACATGCCCAGTCAGGTGCATTCTCGAAAGGCAAGAACTGATGATGAGTGACAAGCCAGTTCAGGCAAGGAGAAAATATTTCTCACTCTGAGAAATCTAAATATATTCTCCCCCACTCATCCAGC